AGGCGCCATCTTGTACAATAAGACGGGTCACTCCATTCGGAGAGTGTCAGCTGCAGGCATCCTGGCTTGCAGCAGCTATAGAGCGGAGTGTATCGCTATGGAACGGGGGTTGCGAACACTCTGTAATATGGTCCATGGACCGTGTCCGCGCCGCCTCAAAGCGGCAGTGTTCACAGACTCCCTCTCCCTCTCCCTTCTCATGGTCCTCAAAACAGGGCCTGTGAGAGCGACTGACGGTATCTTGCGACGGATATGGTGCAAGATCCTCTTTCTGGCACGCATGAACGTCGATTTGTCGTTTCAATTCGTGTTCTCTCACTGTGGGGTTGCCAGGAATGAGAGAGTGGGCACGGCAGCGGATCAGGGGCATGCTATGCCACAGCGATATCCGGCATGGATTACGGACATCATAACGGGCGTCAAACGCCGTTGTCGTCGGAAGGAACTTGCTGTCCATGAGGCGGGTGAGGGGCCGAAGACCCATCGAACTGCCCTCTTGGGCCACATACGCCCCACACCCAAAACGCTCTCCCTCAATAGAGTCGGAGAGGCTGTCATGGCGCAGTTCCGTACGGGTTCATCCGCACGCTTTGGATACCTGTACCGCATAATAAATAGTGAAGAGGAACTTTTGCATTGTCGATGGTGCTCGGGAGCGGCGACGACTACTACGGCAAACCACGCCACTCCGCCCCCACCTCCTGAACCCCCTCCCGTACCCCTCGCGTGGCGCCAAATGGACCCCGTCGTGTCTCCATTGTGCAATGTCATCTTGGCGCAGCGCATGACGGGGACGACGCACATGATGGCTGTGCATAAGTGGACACGCGAGGCTGCGACAAGACTTCTTAAAAAGGCACATAAGGCTCCCTTTATCACGATGGCTTCCGCTGCCATATATGCAATGCAGAATTCGACTCGCGCTTCCTTCTGGTGGGCCACTTGCAGAGTCATCAGCCCCAGCTGCCAGTGGAGGCGGCGAAAGACGCCAAACGGCGGAGAGACGAGGTCGACCCAAAGCAGCGTCAACTCCGATGTCCGGGTTGTACCAAAAAGTTCATTCTGAAGGGGTTTATGCATAGGCATATGGCAAAGTGTCACCCGAACAGAACCTTTACGGACTCCACCGTAGTTTGGGAACAAGTCCCTCCCGCTCCGCCCACCGTCGCTCAGAATCCGCTCCACTGCCCAAAGTGTAATCGCACCTTCGGGAGTAAAGCGTGGGTGACGCGGCACAAGTGCACGCCATCTCGTGCAAGCCCTGCAGAGGAAGGAGAGAGAGGCAGGAGGGGGGACATCGTCGAATGAGCAATCCCCTTGCCCCGTCTGTGGTAAGGAATATCCCCGGATCCGGATGCATCGGCATCTCCAAATGACCCACCCAGAATATACTGCGGGGACCAATACGGTTCCTGTCAGTAGCATTAAACGTGAGCCGGAGGAGGATACAGCAGGATCCCCTGAGCCTACTGCGCTCCCTGCTGCATCCCGGAATCCATTATTCCGCAGCACGTGCAAACGCACCCTAAAAAGCAAGTCGGGGTTTGCCACGCATAAGTGTGAAATTGTCGACGTAGCTTACACACCGTCACAGCTGGGCACCTTCGGCAAAACACATTATGAGTGTCCTCTCTGTGGCCAGAGAGTAGAGTAGTGAGTCACTGGTTCAGCCGACACCTGAGAGAGAAACATCCGGGTCACCAAAGCGATGTGATTGCGATTCCTCTCCAGCGTGCCAAACGTGCCAGAGACACTGACGATGATGATGAGGGAAAGAATGCGGTTATGCCGAAGAGGATGGATGCGTCTAGAGGATTAGATTCTACACACGAGGCATGCTTTACAGATGATGCGTGGATACGGGGGCACCATAAGCAAGGAAATTCCTCCTTGGTCTGTGCGCGCTGTGGCGTCACGTACATGAGGCTGGGGTCTCTAGTCCGCCACACTCGACGTCACCATAAGGACAGCAAAGTTGCGCAGATACGTCTTGAGGACGGGTCCCTCCTTTTCCATGACATGGGTGACCGGGAGTTTCAATGCCCACACTGCCCCCTGAAGAGCACACAAAGAGGTGGACTCAGCAGGCATATAAAGGCAGCCCATGGGTATTCCGAACAGGAGTCGCGCCGCAATGCGCTAAAGTATGCTTGTGAGGAATCGTCGTCCCACTTATTGGAGTGCCCCGCTTTGAGAGAGCTACGGATTAGCTGCGGCCTAGAAGAGTTATCTAGAGAGAAACAGCT